AACTGCAAAATGGTACAAAACTGTTTTGTTCCCCTTGATCCAATCTATGTCCCCACTGTGTTTCAGTAACATTTTCTGAGACACCCTGTATATATATATCGTACATATTTATATATTTTTTTGGAAATAAGAATTTGTGTTGATTTATGTTTCTTCGTGAGTCTGTTGGATTGTAACTTGGATGTGCAAGAGATAGAATTGAAAGTTAAAATTAATTCACAATAGACGCATCATCTTAAATGTGCAAATCCCGGCGAGATATACAATGTATGTAACGTGTTGAAAAATGTTTATTTTAATTCTAATAACACGTTAGATTTTAATTAAAAATTAATAAAATATAAAAAATACATACTTTCTTGCACGTTGTTTACCACAGATAACCCAAGTGTTAAGCAATCACGAGCCTCAGTTGTCCCTTCCAGTGGTAAGTCAGAACATTCAACCAAAGGCACTTGATGCCCAATCAACGGATGTCTTTTCGCTATCGCATATTCCTTTCTGCACAACTCATTCTCCAGCATTTCGCATTCCTCCCGACATATCCTTCGTAATTTACGATTGATCTCATTTCTACTGGATGCTCGCGCGTCGCCGTAACTCTGATTAATTATTTTCTTGTTGCTTGACTTTCCATCTTCATTGGGCATAAAATTGAAAACTGGGCCCAAAGTAGGACTACGTTTAGGAACACTATGCAGTCTCGAAAAATCATCCGTGTCATCGCGATCTCCGTCGTCTAAAAAATCATCTTGCTTGGAATTCAGGAGATTGAAGAGCTGCGTGCTCGCTTCCGCGTTCTTCGGTTTTTTAGTATTAGATGGATCGCGGCAAATCGGAAAGGCAGAATAGCAAAGCGACGGCTTCGCATATCCTTCGCAATTTGACGAGAGCTCACTGTGTGAAAAAATAATTGAAAACATGTTAGTCTCTTTTATCTCATTTAAATACTGCTATATTAATATTATCTTGTATATTATACATAAATTTTATTTCAATATATTCTAAAGCTTCAAAAAAAAAACATACTTTGAGAAATTGATAACTTGAAAGGCCTTCATTAATTTCTCCTCGAGCATTTTCTGTGTCATGGGATATATAATATAAACCGATTGGTTTCCTACGAACTGTGCACAGGTTTTTCCTATATATACCTGTAAGAATTCAACAATCTTGTAACTTCTTTTTGTATATCAACAATTTTAAATTGAAATCTATTTTTGTACTCAAGCACAAACCTCACAAGTTCCTTTATGATTGTCCTTTCTGCCTGAAACTGAACTTATGCTTGACATTTCATCAAAATTCATATTAGGAGGGAATTGTATATTGCCATTAGTAAGGCCGCTGAGTGTATTGAAATCCATAGTGCTGGATTGTGAGCTGGTTGGCTGTGGACTCGGCGAAAGTATGTTAAACGGATTCGCAGATGCCAAGTGAGAGATGTGAGGTGTAGACATTCCAGTTCCTGAGATGTCCAACATATCTCCATGTCCCATGCTGTCACAATAAAAAGATAACAGAGTTTATACGTATTCTTATCTTTATTGTTTATTCATTGATATAAAAATGCATTGGTAAAGATTTTTTTCTCATAGAATTTTCGTGATTTAGATTTCGCGTGAATTTATTTAAAGTAGCTAAAGCAAAACTACGTTTACAAATGGAAAAATAACGGCCGTCCGTGATATTTTTATGTGATGATTTGGACTGGAACAAACGCGTTATTATTTCAAAACATAACCTCAGTAAAGTCACAGGAAAGTTGGATTTTTAGCTATCGTCACATTTTGAAGTAAATGAGCAAAGCAAGATCGGTCGTTATCAGTCGTTATCCGATTACTTATCAATCGACTTCATGTGTGAAAGACCGTGTTATCTAGAAAAAATATTCACGGCTCCACGTAACCTCGCGAAACAAAGCTGCGCGGAGTATTACCTTGGCTCCGTCGTATTCCCGGCGTTATTTTTGGCTCGTACAAAAATACATGTATTCTGCAACAATGCTAGGTACAAGAGTAGCTTCATAATTCGTAGATCAATTATCAAAACATTTGGCTTGATGTTTAGGAGCTTGTGTCATTTGACACCACACCCGGTGTCAACCATTTGTAAACTGTAGTAAACTAACGGTAAGATAACGCTGTGAGCAGCCTGCCCTCTCGAAAACACCGATAAACCGAATCTCCATAGATGACGCCACGAGTAACAAATTTGAGGGCACTCGCTAAATCCCTTCGCGTCATAAGAAGTGAAAATTCGAATTTAGTTTGATCGCGCGCACCATAATAAAATTATCTTAAATCTTCTCCCCTCCGAGCTGATGGAGTCAAAAGAATAACAAAATTGAAATCAAGTAAGTGAAATAGCAAATATTGGCAAAAGACTTTAATATAGAATTAGCGGTAAAACATACGATAGCAAGATTCTCAAAATTTCCTTAAAATTTCACGATTGATTTTTGCTGGTGCGACAGTTATTTTTCCTTCCATTTTACACAAAATTTTATAATTGTTTTTCTTTTTTTTTTTTTAAGAAAACGAAAGGATTTTAGCTTCAGAAGCTCTCAAGAGATACTCTTTCCTTTTAACGCAATAATAAATTATAATTCGCGTTATTGGATAAAAAGTAATTAAACTTATTGATGTTAGCAACGTAAAAATATAACAATAAGTAATAATTGTATTCGGACTCTCAAATTCAAAACAAATTAAAAGTATGACTAAATTAGGCTAG